TGGAACCCGTGGTTTTCTCTTGGGTTTTTCTTCATCCGATTCTGGGATAAATGATAAAAGATTAAAATAATGCCCAGATGAAGAATCACTGGAAAGCTGAAAGCAAACAAAGGAATCTTAACGTACCATCCCGAAATTTCCCATTGAAATCCATTGAATATCATCTTGGATTTTTCCCACCAGGCATCAACATGCCACATACATACAGTGATATTCCCATAGGTTATCCCCAAGCAAATCCCCCCCGACAAACCCGAGCTGCTCCCGGCCGTGATGAGGAAGCTATGACACTCGCATTGGGCGCGGTCCACCGTTAAGTTCCCGTTCTCGTAACAACAGGCACGAAGGTCCTGGTGTCGTTCAAAAATGGATGGAGCAGGGTATGTCTCAGAATTGGGGTATCCTGGGTATCCTACAATCATTGGTTTCTCTAGGAAGAATCACCAACTTGTTCCTGATTCAGTGATCATCGCAAAATCGAAATCGCTGGAGATCTGGATCAAAACAGCACTTCATGATCAGCTGAATCAACTGTTTCAATTTTGATTCTATCAATTTTCTGGCCATCAATGACCACAGCGGTGGCTTGAAACCCGTCTGCAACATCGATTAGGACGGTCCTCAACGGCTTGGAATTGGTTGTAGCCAGTGAGGTTGAACCACAGCACCACGGTATCCTTCAAGAGCAAAGCTTCCGCAAACCACTCCTGAAGTCGAAAGAACTGGGAAAGGTATGGATAGGTGGCTGATAGTAACAGGTTCCCACGGGTTTCTTCATGTTTCTTCAGTGGCGAAACAAGTCAAAATGGAAGAAGATTAAGATATATTAAGATCATGAAGAAACAATGCCTTTGGCTTCCATTGGCTTCCAAGTTGTCATTTCCCCTACCCCAGCCATGGAAATGGGGGAACATTTGGTATCCAAGGCTCGACGGAAGACATGACATCCGAAAAGAACATGCCAAACTGATAGTTCACGCCTGGCAGGGCGAGCAAACATCAAATGACGGAAATGCAACAGAAATTTGATGTTGGAAGTACTAGACAAATGAAGGAATCAAATCAGCCGAGGTACAATAGTCCGGAATTTGCGGGCCATCAGCCACCAGCTCCACATATGAACATCTTCGCTTCTCGGTTTCCTCCCACGGTGTTTTAAATTCAACCATGTCAATCTGCCAGCTGCCAGCAGTCCTTCTTGAGATTCAAATTGCAGTTTTTCGCTACTCAACTCTATCCCCATTGTTGTGTGGCAAACCTGCTGCATTCCCCATCTTTTGGATATCTAACATGAGATATCTCTTGGTTTCATTAGTCGAACAATACCCTTTTTCACTTGATCACTTACACATAGTTACGCCATCTGACGGCTACCGAAGCCCAACACCGTGTGCCGTCCTTCTTGATGGTTGAATCCCAATTGGTTGCTCCTAAAAACATCAAGAACAAACAACAAACATTTATCTTCGCTTCAGCATTTGTCGTAGTTTTAATATGTTTTATATAATCAATCATCTATACTCAACCCACATATATATATATGATGTTAACCTCGAGTTGGAACACCACCTACCAGTGGTCCTTCTTGATTATTATTCTTGATGATTCGATCGTAGATGGGGTCATAAACCAACTGGTTCCCCCTTCCTGTGCCGGTGGCCCTTCTTGAAAGTCAAAGCCCGTGTTTATGGGTACTCTAATATATTATTCATAGTATATATATATAAGATATATATATATATATACACTATATATACACATTCCATATATGATATACACTCGCGCTCTATTTATATATATATATATATATACATATTCCATATATTTCCATATAACCGGGTGTATCATGATTACCCATTTCCCATGCCTGGGTCCCGCCCCCAGCCCGTTATCGCCTTCTTGACGACCAACTCACAGATCTGCGCCACCGTAAAGTGATCCCAGGGTGTCTTCGGGTGCAGCTTGGCCATCTGCCGATGCGCCTTGCGCGCGAAGGTCCGTAGCTGACCCAAGGTGATGCCACGGTGTCCCACGTAGGGAATGCTGCAGCCAGTGACCTTCTTGCCTTAGGGATGCAGATGGGGGATGGGCTGGGGACTTTTGAGCCATATATCATATAGACATGCAACATACTGGAAACATGCTTCTGACCTCGCTGAAGCCTCAAACACATGTGATTTCAAGTATCTAAGACCAGCCCAAATGGAATTTGAAACAACAAAACAGCCTTTGGCTGGAGAAAGAATGGGCATTTCACCGACAAGAACCGGGAGTCAGCAACCAAAAAACCTAACTCAATCCATTCTACTGGGTCTTACCGCAGCGACATAGGTAGGTGAAATCTCAAGAAAGTTGTTGGTTTTCCCAAAAGATAGGGGATCCCAGCCAACAAAAATCTGGATCATCTTATTGCAGTGTAATATCCTGTTCGTCTGAAGGGTTCCTCATACATTGACATGGTTTTCCCAAACATAGGTCCAGTTGGGGTGGACATGGCTGGACATATACATGCGTTTGAAGCGTCAAACATGTGGAACCACCAGGTTTTGAATGTGTAATCATTAATTATTTCATGTTTCTATGTCTATTCTTGTAAAATTTGACAAGTCTCCCTCAAGCATATCATGATGCATTAAAAAAACATAAATGTCTTAACATTTGCTTATCTTCATAGTTTGACGTGGTCACTGATCACTGCCAGCCAACATTGCATTTTGATGTGCATCCGCAAGACTACAGATCGTTTTGAGAAACCTGGACCCAAGGGAATACAGCAGAAACAAGTATGAGGGGGATATATCCTTAAAACATGATAAGGGATTCTGCATCTCACCCTTCCTCTTGTAAAAGAAACACGGCAACAAAATAGACATAATCAGCTCGATGATCTCTCTTCTGAAATTATGTATTTCCTATTTGCCACTCTATCACCATAGGTGATAGATATCTTCTCCAACCCACCTGAACTTTCCATCACAAAAACAACATCATCCATGAATCCAACCATGTTGCGTTGACCAATGCGCCCCAGCACCGACACGCGCACGTCCATGTTCAACGCTTCAAAGGCATCGCTGTGCGAACTGAGAATTCCCCATTTGCTGCAGTCACAGTCTTCGGCCTTTGACAGCTGCGGCCGACCGTTCACCTGGGCTAAGGGGATTGCTCAATCACAGGCGGGTTCAAAGGCTGAGCGCATTTGTACCATCTTCTGGTACATGTACACGTTTTGAGGAGGAAGGGACAATATCGTAAGAAAAAACAAGAAGTGTTAAATGTTGAAAAAAAACAGTTATAAGTTATAAGTTATAGTTGAAATAACGTGAAATAAGACATTGGGAGTTGCGGCTTGTTTCGCTTGTCTCGCAACCCAGGTGGCAACGTGCAAATTCCCACAATCATCCGTCTGCAGGCCACAGGTTTCCGGTACTTCCGCGATGAAATTCATGATCCTTGGATGAAGCCCCAGGGAAATGATCCTTGACGGTGCCTGTAAGTCTGTGGGAAAACATGGGTTACCCTCTGGTAAACGTGCAAAAAACTATGGAAAATCACTATTTTTAATGGGTCAACTATTTCTATGGCCATTTTCAATAGCTATGTTAGTTTACCGGTACACTAACTTGGCTGGCTGGAAGCTACTAGTACTATCGTTTAAAAATGGCGGTGTCCAATTGCCAAGCCTGGATTCATACCAAAGCGCCAGCCAGTGAGGAACTACTTAAGTCTTAAGTAATCATGGGATACACTGCTGGCTTAATGCAATCTTGAATAATTAATCTTGATCATCATCGACAATGGTTGAACCCATCTTCAAAGAATGAATTAATCCCCAACCCGATAGGAAACACCCCCAAAAATGTCTCGTATAGCACTGTTTCCCACTGGATCCCATTTAGTCTATAGAGTCTATGGCTATTTCGCTGGTGACATTACTCCCATCCCCCTAACAACATTAAACACCACACACTAATCCCGTCCCCTAACATTAAACACCCCAATTGTATAAATGGTCCCAATCATGTGTGTATATACCATAGAGAACCTAACATAGATGTGGAAGAACAACCATTTGTAGATCATGTTCCTAGGGAAAAACCATAGGATGTCCACATCTATGTTCATATTGTATATGTTTACACCAGGTTAACCACCCTGCTAAACTTCATCAAATCATGGGTTTCTGGATGTTTCTGGGGTTGGTGGGGCGAGGAGCTGTCGCTTGTACGCCGTCTCGGCCGCGTGGCTCTTCCGCACATCTCAGCGGCTGATGGCGTCCACCAAGGGGCCGGAGGAAACGGCTGCGGAGCCCACCATGCCTGGTGAAGATAAGGGTTGAGTCCCTGCCAGGCCTGGATCATGATTTGATGATTAGAGGCTTTGATTGTCCATAAATTATTGAATTGTGTCATATATGTCATATTGATGAATCATAGACATCTATCCCCCTCGAAATAAAACATGTTCATATATTAATCATGATTGATCTGTATCCATATGCTCAGTTCCTATTTTGTTGGCTTGAAAATCCTCCACCACTGTGCCTGTGGAGGTATAGAGTTGGAGCTCCTTCTCTCGCAGGATGGTGCAGTGCAGCTCCAAACCTGGATTTCTCTGAACGCTGATTCATCATACATTCCCAAGCATTAAATTATTGAAAGCCAGGAAATTGATAGATTCTCTTACGCTAACCATGGTATTTACTGCGACTTGAACTGCTGAAAAAAAAACTATACAGCCTATAGTATACATTGACCAAACATTGGTCTCCTCTAATTCACGGGTTTTTCTCCCACTCCACGTCATAGCCGAGCATCAACACCAGCTCCGCGTGAGGGACCCCGCATCACGATCCACGATGAGAATGGTGGCTTCGGCGCTCTCGATGGCACGGACGAAGGGGGTGCCGATGATTTCGGAGCCAAAGGACTCGCCAAATTGGTTGTTGGCAAAGGTGCACACCTGGGAGGCACTGGCGGGCTCGGAGATGACATAAAACTAAAAGACGAATGGAGACTAGGGGGTGATCTACTTGATCTGCTCTACCAATCCACAGTGCTAGATGTACATGCATGCCATCGGGTTCGGTGGCACCTCAAGGTTCGTTTGGTTGCTACTTATTGTTGTTTCACGTTTTTCAATGGTCGAGCCACCCATAGACTGGTGCAAATGCTCAAGGCGCGATCCGACACCACGGTGTCCACGGTCGTCATGAAATCACTGAAGCGACCGCCCCACCAGTGGCTGATCATCAGCTGTGGTCGTTGGGGTTCTGCACTTACCAGCTCTGCCCAAGAATAACCTCACACTGCGGAAAGGGGGTTCATGGTTGGTGGAGTTGGAGTTGAGGGCCACTCTTTAGAATCACCTTCGATCCTTTGCATCTTAGGAGAAAGAGCCTGTGTTTGATTTTCATTGGCAAGTGAAGGCATGGGAATACGATTTTTATATGTGCATGAAGAGGATCTGATGGTGTGAAATGTTTCTGATGTTTCTGATAGCACATGAATTTGTACAACACCTACCATTCCCATCCAATGACCCGCTCCAGCCCACAATGGATCTTGATTACACAAATTCGATGGCCACCATCTTGGGATGTTCTCGTCGTCATCATCATCATCATCATCACCACCGACCCATTTTTTGTTAATTTGGCATGATTTGGCTACACGCCCACGTGATGACAAACGCCATCTGCTGCGTCCAGCAACGTTTCTGGATGATTGGATCAGACTCATCCACTCCCCACTTTTGGTCATGGTAGGGAATGTATTTCTTGATCACCTGCGGTGGCTCTGATGGTGGCGCCTCCACCATTTCCCTGACATGTTTTTAACCGGGGGGGGGGTACGTTTAAATCTGTATGTATACAACATTATACAACTATGCAGGATACATGCACGTGTGGATACGTTGTTTATTTAAACATATTTACACGGCATATTGTCAAATCCGAGAAAAAACACAGTTATACACAGTCAGTTTGAAAAGCAGAAGCAGAATGCAAAATTTAAACAACGCTTTGCATCTAGCCCGGCAATAAAACATGCACATTTTCAGACTTTATAGATATGCTGATGCTATGAGAAATGATCTGCGACATTCACAACTGTCCAATGTTCCACAGTATGGCATCTCTGCTGACCAGGGGAGAAGAACGAATCAAACAACAAACGAAAACGAATCATCCTCATGCTGCTTCGTCCACGCTGACCTCATCTGTGATGTCGTACAAGTTGAGCGCCTGCCACTCCAGCCACTGGTCATAGCCACAGTCCTTCGCCTTGGCGGGTCCCCATCAAAGGGTGAACGCAAGAGCCGTGGCTACATGTTGAAATGGGAAAATTTCGGCAACAAACAGGGAAGAGGAACACTAAGTACAAGAATATAAATCTTGGATACTCAGTTCATCCATCAACATCAATAAAGATCAATAAAGCACAATTGCCGTGATGGGGTTCGCTTCGTCTAGCATTTGTAGCATGCTTTGCCAGTGATGGGATGGGAAGGCGTCCCATGACACTCTGCAGTCAACTACTTGAAGTTTCATACCCCCTAGTACTGGTATCTGCTCAGCACGTACCCCCGGTGATTCTCCCATTGATAATAGCTATGGCTACCAACCAGTTAGTAAATGGGATAATCCAAAAGTATGTTATCCTCTGGTTGCTTAGCTATGGGAAAATCACAACTTTTAAAATAGGTACTGTACCCTCTGGTAAACTAACATAGCTATTGAACATGGCCATTTATAATTAGTGGATTTTCCCATTAAAAATGGTGATTTTCCATAATTAGTTATGTTAGTTTACCAGAGGGTATATAATATGTATGTATGTCATCAATGGACACCATTTTCCATGGCTATCCTGGCTGCGTCTCTTGCCGAGCTACGTAGCCGGCCCGTCTCAGCGACTTGGTCTTGCACAGCCTTCTCCTTAATCCGCTAGGAATGGATTTCTCCGGGCTTGCCCAGCTTGCCCATGGATTGATGGATTTAACATGTGATGTTCATGTTGCATGGACTTTACTTGAGATGGCTTATTGAAAAGGAGAGTGCGTGTTCATAGTCCATTTTGCAATGTAAATGGGATGTCGTTGAACATCGACTATCTTGGTGTCACCAGAAGCTATCGCCAGAAACCACCCAGGGATGAAACCCACATCGGAAAAAACTGAACTAAGCAAAGCCAAGACGTCAAGAAAATGCAGAGATCCCAGAGCTGTCTGACCCTGAGCCCTCGCTCAGCCACATCCGGGATCAACGTGCAACGCCGCTCGTTGCACCATGGCACTGGCATGGTCGCCCAAGTGTTGCACAGCGGAACGGGGGTAAAGTGTGGATGTCTTCTGCTTGCTGGTTGAGCCAGCCATTCCTCCAATAAAATCAAAGTATATGAAAGTTGAATGGAATCTTGCTCCGGCAGGATGGAAAAGATCTGAAACCAGCCAGCTATGGGGTTTTTGGGAAGTTCCCACTTTTGGAGGGTGGGATGTCAACAGAATGTGTCAAAAGATGTTGGTTAGTGCAGGTCAGGTCATGCCTCCAAATCAATGGCACTACGTACTTCAACTATGAGTCTTCTGCAGTGTTCAGCACCGATGTTGGGGAACAACTTTCATGTATATAGCCATAATATAGTCATGATATACCATAGGTAATATAATATAGTAGCTAATATAATTGATATACCATAGCTAATCAATATAGACCCTTTTAGTGTGTTTGCTTTTGCGTTTTGCTGCTTGTCACAGGACCATGTTTTGGTCAAGCTGGTGCAACCCCTGATTCCGGCCGCGCACTGAAGACTCAAGATATTCCTTGAGATGACAGTGGCCACAGGTGTGCCAATCAATATATACTCCATCACTGGGAACATCGGCATTCTGCATGTATATATACCTACACACACATACATACATACATACATACATACATACATACATACATACATACATACATACATACATACATACATACATTATATATATATAGGGAAACTGACACAGAACTCCAAGAAACGGATTTGGAAAATGACTCTTCAAAATAACATTTTCAGGTGGGCACAAAAACATACCAATGTTGAAGTTGGACTTCTGAAGGTTGGACAAATCAAACAGCAAGTCCAACCAAGCACCATTTACACAACATATGGGAGTATCAAGGTGCATCAATACCTGGCCTGTGTGCAGTGTTTTCTGGCAACCCGAACCCATCATCATCTATCTGCTCATATGGCTATGCGTCAAACCACATCCAAATACATCTAGAAACCACAAACACAGTGCAAGAACAATAATAGTAATGATAATGATAATCATACGGGTGTTGTATCGAGTATACGTATATATAAGATTCCAAGATGCACTCGTGGAGAAATATGATGAGTTGCATAGATGTTACATGAGATGAACGACTGTGTTATAAGATCTTTCTTTCCACTTCTTTCGTTATCACCCGACCTCCTCCTGCACCCAAGAAAGGCCAAAAAACGAATCATCTTCTGCTGACGACACCTCGAAGGACCTGCGCCTGGAAAAAGTCTCATCCAGCGGGTGCGCCATGGCTGCCATGCGCACCCCAGCGACGAGGGCAGCTGAGAACTCCTAGGCCTTATGGGCGGTCTTGTTTTACATATGGATTTATAGATGAATATGACAACATGTGGCTTGTCAACTTCTTTTGGTAGATCTGGTGGATCAGAATCAATCATGATTTGGAATGGATGCTGAACAAGTTGAGGAATTGTGATGGAATAGAGACCATGCACACTCGTCGTGATGCTTGCATGCCTTACAATTCTTGTCGCAGCCAGTGCGCTGATGAGCGGCTACTCAAAATAAATGATTAGGTTTCCCGCTTGCAGCATTGTTGCTCGGTGCCCGGTCAAACAT